GTGTGTGTGTGTGTGTGTGTGTGTGTGTGTGTGTGTGTGTGAGTGTGTGTGTGGTTCATAAGTCACTCAGCTGCAGGTCGTTGTACAGAAACTTGTTTACTTTAGTTGCGACATGAACATATTTCCAGAGAGATGATCTACTGACTGTTAATGTTCACCCAGAGAGCATTCTGGGAAAAATCTACCTGTACTGACGGTTTTTCTTTTCTCGACTCTGTCGAGTAGAAAGAATAACAAAAATAAAAAATAACAATATTTATAACAAAAATAAAGAATAATAAAGAATGACAATAATAATAATAAAGAATGACAATAATTACTATTATTATATATTATTTAAATTCTTATAATAATAATATGTGAAACAGGTTCTCTCACCTCTGTGTTCATTTCATTTCATCCTGAGTTTCTGCATCTGCAGGCTGTGCAGTGAAGGATTATGGGAACGTGGCGTTTGAGGATGTGGTGGAGGACGAGCCGGTGGGTCTGGTGAAGTGTGTGCGCGCGGTGGGCAGCGCCAACCAGAGGCTGTCTGAGGCGGTGCAGGCTGTGAAGAGGGACGGACACACCTCAGTGATGCTGGGAGGAGACCACAGGTGAGTTCACACCTGAGATTGTTGAAGAAACACTTCATATAACCACGCTGAGCACAACACAGTTGCTCTTAGAACAGATATTTCCTAGAAATGAGAAAGTCAGCAGTTCCTAGAAAGAAGTATGGTGACGATGAACATTTCTCGTACGTGTATCAGTTGTTCTGTTATCTTGACCCAGACGTGGACAAGAGAACGTACCGAGATGGGAGAGCAGGATGTGCTTTGTTTGTGGTTCAACCGACTGCTTTGATTGGTGGAAAGTGACATGAGGGGGCTGGCTTTAGACTGTAGGAGTAAGTTGTAAGAAGTAATACTTTGGATGAATTGCCATTGTGTGCATTAAACAGTCCCGCTGGTTGCTACTACAACAACTACGTCTCTTCATTTCAGCAACAACTTAATGCTGATGTTTCTGCCACAACAAGACAGAGTAGTACCAGTCCGTTACTACAGTAAGAGTACTAATACTACACTGTGAAAATACTCTGTAAGAGTACTAATAC